GGGGGGGCGTACGGACAACCCGCGTGGCATGACGGTGCGAGAATTGGCCCCGTCGTGCTAATCACAGCAGAAATTGAAGGAAAAGCTTGCAAAGTGTCTTGCTGAGGCAGGATTTATAACGATGCTACCCGAGATGCTACTACACCGCTTGCGTAAAGCCAAGTCCCTGCGCGCCACGCCACGCCACGGGTGGGTGGCTGGGGGCTGTGCAAGACGGGGCGATACGAAACGTGCCGGTGGAGGCGCGAAGAATAACTTTGCATCGCGTAAAATATTCTCCCCCCCCTCTCCCTCGCCTCTCTTTCGATTTTACGAGATTGAAAATAAATATGTCAACCCGCAAGCCAGAGTTCTAAAGCCCTCGGTCCACTTCCACGCAATTTATCACGACACGGCCATCTCTGCGAGTATGTGTATGTATGCTCTGTAAAAATGATAAGCAAAGCTATTACTTTTATTTACGACCTACTTGGCCGTGAAATCGTGGCGAAAAGAAAATGGAAATGATGAAAAGAAAAAGGAAAAAAAAAGGAAATTGTTATGGGATACATTTTGTAAAGCCTAGGAGGCAAGGCTGGGCAGGGCAGGGTGGCGGCGGCGGCCGTTTCAGGTTTCATGCGTAAATTAGCACACTGGCTGCTTATGACGGGACGGGCGCTTGTCTTGCGCCCCTCTGTCACAAAGGCGGGGATTAAGTCGGGCCGTTTGCCTGTTATTTACGCCCGGAGCTCCGTACGTGAAATAAAACGCGCCTTATTTTTCTCTGCTCCGCGGCCGTGTATTATCCCGCGCACTTGGTCTGAACCGAATCCCCCCCCCCTCACCTCACCTCCCCAGATTCTAAAAGGCAGATTACAACCGCAACAAAACGCCTCTAATTCAGAGCAGAGATATCTTTAAGCAGCCCCTGTTTACGTTGTTTAAACGCTGTTTCACCGGGGCAACTTTGTTTACCATTTTATAGGTCGCCTCTATCTCGGCACGTGGGATCTGGACCCGGCCTACTGTCGCATGTGAGTTACTAATCTGGCCGGATCTGGTGAGGAGGCAGGCGACTTCCGGCTGGGAGTGCGGGGATCCCCTCCTGGGATCCCAAAGGAAACTTTTCTACCCGCCCAGAAACTTTTTCATTTCACCCGCACGTCGCCGTCGTCGCGCTCCCCGGCGGTTTTGTTGCCGTCCCGAGCGAGGCGCGGCCGCTGCGGTCGCCGCGGCTGATGCACGTGTCTCGAGATGCACCAAAACCAATTTAGATGCTGTTCGCTGCATTTCGCTTCCGAGATGTCATGTCCCATGTTATTGATGCGGCCGGCGCATTCCAACATAGTGCATAACTAGGTCGGTGACCGGGCGTGGCGTGGCGTGGCGGGGCGTGGCGCGGGGCGGGGCGAGCGGCGGGGCGAGCGGCGAGCAGGCGCGCGCGGGCAGCAGGCAGCACCTGCCGAATCGGCCTCCTGCTCGCCCCATGGCAATCGTATGCAGCTCGCAGGTGGACGATGATCCAGGAGGACTCGACCCGGCGGCGCCCTGCGCCTGCACGGGAGCGCACTGTTACTCCTCCTCCCCGTCGGACGCCAGCCTGCTGCTGCTGATGACTGGTTTTCGCACTGGAGGAAGCTGAGGAGGATCATCTCAATTTACGAAATAGGAGATTCCTAACGGAAGCTGGGGGGAGAGAGAGAGAGAGAGAGAGAGAGAGAGAGAGAGAGAGAGAGAGAGAGAGAGAGAGAGAGAGAGAGAGAGAGAGAGAGAGACTGCTGCGTGTTGTTTTGTGTCGGGCGCGCTTGATGAGGCCCTGCAGGCCTGCAGCAGCGAGCTTTGCGAATAAGTCTCATGTGGCGGCCGCCAAACGCCATGCGGCACATCCAGGTCATCACCAGCGACAGCAACAGCAGAGAGTGGGGATCCCCTTTCTCGACACTTGTCAACGCGGAGCAGCGCAAAAGGGCGTCGCTCTTAATGTGGAAACGGGAGATGATGGCCCCCCTCGCTGTAATTGCCCGCGGCTCACCCTCGGCTCAGCTCGCGGCGCCCGCGGCCCCGGCAACACGGTGCAGCAACAGTGTCCTTAATGCCGACATTCACACTGCGCATCAGATTCGTTTCGCGTCCTCGCGGAGGTGCGCGAAGTACCTAGAGGTACTCACTCAAATAGCGCGGCCTGGTGGTGGTGGTGGTTGTTGTTTGTCGCGGTCCCGGTCGGCGCCGCCGCTGCAGCGTCTGGGAACGAACAGAGAGAGAGGAGGGTCAAGAAGGGCGACAAAAAGGCAAAGGCGCGCAAGCCCGACGTAAAAAGCAAAGGTATAGGCGATAGGTTCGTTCGCGGCTCATGCCTAGGCAGCAGGAGAGAGTGGCCGCTAGAGCGGCAGGCACTCGCGGAATGCGTCACTGTTGCTCGCCCCGCCCCCTTCCACTGGCAGCCCGTTTTGCTGACCGTGTCTATTACGAGACTCTGGTCACAAGTCGAGAGCTGCTCGCGGGTCGGCTGCGGGCCGCTTTCTGCTTTGGCACGCTACGCAACCATGAGGCGCATTTTTCGCGGAGATGCAGCGACAGTTTGAAGGGCCGTTCCTCGCCGAGCGGGCCCTCGCTGGCCGTGGCCGTGGCCTTGGAGCGGCACGCGCCTCCGCCGGGATCCACTTCTTTTTTGTCGCCGGTTTGGACTGGACCCGCGGGCCTGGCAGCCGCCGCTGGCCGGCGGGGCCAGGAGGCCGCGAGGCACTCACTCACACGCGCCCCGGGCCCCGGGCGCATGCATAAGTGGCGCGGTTAAAACCGCTTATGCGGTGGGAGAGTAATAAGTTTTATTATGACGACGAGGCCCTCTCGGAAGGTTCCCGCGCGGACTGCGCTTCTCTATATAGGCCCTGCTTGTGGCGTATCCGCGACAAGGCCGGCCGGCTCCGGCAGCACGCGGACCTCCTGGCGGCCCTCCAGGCCCGGCCCAAGGCCCGGCCCAAGGCCCGGCCCGGACTGGTCCTAAGGGATTAGCGAGTGCGCCCGGCAGACCGTTAGAGAGGGAACGCTGTTAGTTGTGAGTGCCACAAGAGTGCCCCGCAGGCAGGCCCGCCTTTCAGCCGCTGCAGCAGCCTGCTTCGGCTCGGTGGTCCTGCGCAGGAGCCGACCAGAGGTTGGGTTCGTCTCCTTTGAGACGAGCGATTGAAGGACCCACAGTATTTTGCCCTGCCTCTGCCAGCGGACGATCGTGTTCACCGGGGGTGGGCGCCGTGGACGCTGTTGGCGCGGCGCACTGAACACCGCATGAAGGCGTGCGGGTGGGTTGCCTACTCACACGGGGTCTCGCAGCAACAGTCTCGGATCTGAACTGATTTATTTCTTAGTAAACTACCACGTTTCACGCTGCAAAATTGCCGACTTATTTATTTGTTTCTTCTTGTGTATATTTTAACAAGCTTACTGAAAGGAAAAAAAATCGGCAATGTGAAAAGGGTATTATTTCGTAATACTGATTAAAAAGGTTGGTCATAGTGGCTTTTAAAGGTGTTTAAGCATCACTAGGACCAGAAATACTTACAAAGGGTTCAAAAAAGGCAAAGGATGAGAGTGAAATCGCGGTCAATGTTAGCTACGAGTGCACCCCCCCTCCTCAAACAGCGTGTCCCCAACCTTAGAGGACCGTCCCCGCTGTGCTGTGGTGACAGTCGCGCGCGGCCCGGCCCGTGGCGACCGCACGGCGTGGAGATGGGCACAGGCGGCCGAAAAGCCTTCATGGAGCGCGGAGGCCATTAGCGGTGCTGCTGCGGGGGGCCCCAGCCCCGGCCCGGGCCCTGCTAACAGCGTGTGTGGCGGCGGCCCCGCCCGGCCCCAGCGCAGCGCACGGTAGCCTTTGATCACCTTTCTTTATTTTTCCTTTAATAATCTCTCTCACTCTCTTTCTCCGCGTCCGAAGTATATGGGAGCAAGTACCTCGTGCACGCACGCACCTCGCTTCTCTTGACGCCCCGCCGGGGTCACGGTCCAACCGGTAGCACAGGGCCTCAGGGCTCGGGCGTGGCGTGGCCCGGCGCGGTCCGGTCCGGACCACCCAATGCACTCGACCTCCTTCCGTAAAACGGGGTGGGCCCGGCGCGGCGGCCGGGCGCTGGTCGGTCTGCCACCCTGCGCCGCCCTCTGACGTGGAACAGAACGGCGGCCGCGCCACGCAGCGCCACGCCCAGCCGTCAATGAGATCTCCTCAGTCATTAGCCCGCCACGGTGCAGCGCGCTACGCCACGCCACGCATCGCCACTCCCGTCCAGCTCCTTGTTTGTTTGTACTGCACACACAGAGAGAGGGTCCGGGATACGGCCTCTCCTCATGTCAGTGCATCCCGTCCGGAGTTCTCATCATCGCCCCCCTTCGCGTCGTCGCCGATGTCCCTTCTCCTCCTCCTCGGGAGGAGAAGGGCGGCCCCTCACCTTCTCTCCGGTCAGGTGTCATCTGGTCCAGGCGCGTCCTAGTTCGCACCCGGTGACAGGTGGGAGTCTGTGCCGAGAGCTCACGGAGCTGCTCACGGAGCTGCTCACGGAGCTCTCCCCGCCCCGCGCGTCGAGGTCTCTGAGCTCTGGACCCCCAGCCTCCCGTGCAGTAAAACGTCCCGATGGGCCCGGTGCATCCCCGCGTCCCGCGTTTGTTTGTTTGTTTGTTTGTTTGTTGTTGTTGTTGTTGTTGTTGTTGTCGTTGTTGTTGTTGCTGTTGTTGTTGTTGTTGTTTGCCGTGGCTCTGGTCGTTGTTTTGCTTTCACTCTCCGGCCGGGTCCGGTCGATAAAGCTGCCCCCGCGTGTCCCCGCCGTGGAGTGTCCCGCCCCGCAGTAAAAAATGTGTCGATATGGCCGGTCGGCGCGTGCCGCGCTATAGTGTCGCGACACTCCGCCACTCCGGCCTCGCCCTCGCCGCGCGGCAGCAGCAGCAACGACAACTAATAAAAATCCAGAGTGGTCCGAGCAGCACAGCACACCCGCAGCTGGAGCGACACCCCCGTCCACCTGCTGCTTTTGCCTCTCGCTGTCGTGTCCGGAGCTATAGCTGTTTCGAGACGACAGTCAGTTTTTCGACGTGTTTTGATCCATGGAACAGGCATGGCCCGCTGCGCGGCCCTGGCGGGGCACTGACCGGGCTGGGCCGGGCCGAGCCCTTGGCCTCCGCTTGTCTTCCAGACCGGAAAAAGATAACCGCGCAGGCCACGCAGCGTTACGCCCGTCCGTCCCGCCCGTCCTCAGTCCCCCCACCTCCTCCCCCGTCCCACGTGACGCCACTGCCAAACGCGGCGAGAAGTGTTGTGGCGCTAGAATGAAATAGGCTGGGCCCGCGCCTCGGTCCGGCTCTGGCCCGGTGCGCGCGTGGGCTGCGCGTGCGGAGGTACGGCACCCAAGCCGTCGACACCACGAAGCCTTCACAGGTCATTTGTTTCATAGCGACCGCCATCGTCAAAGTCATCTCGCTGAAAAGGGTGAAGGAAATCTCCTCAAATTGTTGAAAACCTCAAAAACCATATGTATATGGGACGCGCTGTGTCTCCCCCGCGGTGCAGCGCCGTTGTCGTCCGCCCCGTCCCCCCTGCCGTACCGCCGCACCGCACGTACCGCACCCGCCCGTACAGTACATGGGCCTATTATTCATGCCTAAAACGTCGCCGGCCTGGCCTCACTGAGCTCAGCGGTGGAATGCCCAGGATAAAAAAAACAAAAACTAAAAACAAACAACACACTACCATTCTAACGTAAGGGACCACTAAAAGGAAATCATCGCATAGGCCACAATACAAACACAGTTTGTTTATTAGCTGAAAGATAAAAATCTTAGCTAGTGTGTGCTTTTGACGCTCGTTTTGTTCGCAGTGCACCGTACGCGAGCGGCAGCCAGCCAGCCATGGCACGGGGGCACTGCCACCACGCGGGGGCACTGCGGTGCATCCAAGCGAATGCGTACGTTGGCCGCTACGGGGTCCCGGGGGGCGGGCGGGGGAGGGAACCTCCTCGGCAATCGCCCTGCAGGCGTGGCAAAATTTTGTTTTGTGTTTCGGGGTCCACGACCCTCTTCAAACGCCCTTCAAACGCCCTGCTCCTCCATCTCCGCGACTCTCGAGCCGCAGACACCGTGAACACTCGCTGCGGCTTCCTCCCCGCGGGAGAAACTAACAGTTTTTGGAATGACGTCGATGTAAACCTGGGGACGTAAGTGCAGCCGGAGTTTGTCTCTCCCTGCATGCCAAATGGCAGCCAAATGGCAGGCAGACGCAACCCGCATTCGGAGTGATGCGTGCATGTCCGTGTGTGCGTGTGCATCTACGCGGCGAATTGCCTCGTTCCCTTTTCGAGGTTGCTGCTCCTGCATTAGAGGCTGGATCCTCCAGACCAGGCTCCAGGCGCCTCCAGGCAGCTTCCAGGCAGCCTCCAGGGCCCCTGCTCCTGCGCAGCCGGGCGCCGCCGCCGCCGCTCTGCGATTGGCTTGCTGGCCATCGGGCGTCCCAGAAGGAATTAAAAACACATGTTACGACAGCGTCCTTACGCATGGTGAGATACCAATAATTTTTACGACTTTTTGCGAAACCGGTAGCATATCGAGGTTTTCCCTGTCACTTACGTGCGCATGAGTGGTGCGGCGGCCGCCACTGTGGAGCCGACCAAACCGCCGAGCCGTCGGCCTTGCGGGTCCAGATCTCCTCGCCTCCTTTGTGGGTCTCTCGCTAAATTCACTCGACCCCCTTATGGAGAGGCGCATCCAGACAGCTGTTGACAGCTGCGCGGACAGCTGCGGACTGCCCACCGCTGCACCAGCTGCGGCCCCCCCGGGTCATACGGTAATGAGAGCCTTGCCTTACAGCCCCGCCGCGCCTGCCCTGTTTCTCTCGGTGTTTCTCGCTCTTTCTCTCCGTCTCTCTCGCTCACGCCTCCTTTCACCTGATAATGCAGCGTCCCCCGCGCGGCCACCGGGTTCGGATGTTTTGTTCGAAGCTTCTTTACATTGCCCTGCTCGGCTGCGCGCCGCAAGCGAGCGAGTGGACCCTGTGGTCCTGAGGAGGACCACCCACTCCTCCCTCCCTCTCGTGTGCTGTGCGTCCTCGCTCCCGCTCAAGGGATAATCGACTTTTAAAATTGGCGTACAGTGGATTACCATTTCGATTCCCATGCATTTAAATTGCCTACCGGATTACCCCCCATTTCACCCAATCCCTTAGATCCTTTAGAATAAACCTGTTGGTTGTAATCCTGCTTTTGA